GGCCACTGCCCTCTCTCTCCTTCCCACTCCCGCCTGCCATTTTCTTCTGTTTCAAACTTTGTTTTTTTTGTCTTTTATTTCATTGTCTCTTCTTCCTCTTCTTTGTCTATAAATCTGATGATAAAGACAACCACCACTGAGATAATATATCTTTGAAGTTCAACTTGGCTTGAGAAATAAACAGGGAGGGATTAGCTAGCTTAATTACCTAAGGATAGGGGATGGCCTGGGCTGGCTTCATCAAGATCAAAATGCTTCCCATGACTAATCTCATGCTTGTTTCCATTCTCTCCTCCATATTTGTTGTTACTCTGCTTAGCTTTCCCAGCCCAGCTGAAGCTGATTATCTATACCATGTCTGCCCAAACACTACCACTTTCACCCCGAACTCCACCTTCCAGTCCAACCTCAACCGCCTCCTCTCCACCCTCTCATCCAACGCCACCCGCCCCCCCGGCTTCTACAACCCCACCGCCTCCCTCTCCTTCTCAAACCACCCCCTCTACTGCGCCCGCCGCGGCGCCGCCCCCGCCCCCGACGCTTGCAAATCCTGCGTCTCCACCGCAACCTCCGACGTCGTCCAGCGCTGCCCCACCGAGAAACAGGCCGTGATCTGGTACGACGACTGCATGCTACGCTACTCCAACGAGTCCTTCTTTTCCACCATGGCCGAGACACCTCGTCTGTTCATGTGGAACACCCAGAACGCCACCGAACAGACCCGCTTCAACCAGGTCCTGTCCACCGGTATGAACGAGGTGGCCACCGAGGCTGCCAACGACGCCGACAAGTTTGCGACGAGTCAGGGGAATGTTAGTGGGTTGGTTTCGATTTACAGCCTGGGGCAGTGCACGCAGGACCTGTCCTCAGCGGATTGCAACCGGTGTCTCAAGGGTGCCATAGCCCAATTTCCGAATTGTTGCAGTGGAAAGGAAGGGGCACGAGTGTTGTATCCGAGTTGTACCGTTAGGTACGAAGTCTACCCTTTCTACCAACAGAACTCCACGTCAGCACCTCAGCCTTCACCGGGGGCTCTACCTCCTCCTCTGCCGCCTAAAGGTAAAGTGAAGTGACCAGCTTTTCAATTCAAATTATGTCTTAAAATAGTTGGGGAATAGGTATCTATGCTAACTATAGTGGACTTTGGATTGGAACAGGGGAATATGGTTTTGGGATTTGGCTGTTCATTTTACTAATTTCTTCATATTTAGTTTGATGTATCAGTGTAGATTCTTATTGTTTATTATGCAGGAAAAAGCAAAATCCCTACAATTGTTGCCATTGTTGTCCCAATTGCCGTCTCTATGCTACTTTTTGTTGTGGGCTGCTGTTTCATTACTAGGAGAGCAAGAAAGAAGCGCAGTGCAGCAGCAGAGGCACCAAGCGGTAAAGAATATATATCTGAAAGGAATTCTAGTTTGTCATACAAATCAAAAGCATACTTTTGTTTCCTCATCTTTATACATGAATGCTTTTCTTGTTTGTTTGTGTAGGTGAGAATGACATTAGTACTATAGAGTCTTTGCAATTTGATTTTAGTACCATTGTAGCGGCCACGAACAATTTCTCTGATGATAATAAGTTAGGGGAAGGTGGATTTGGTCAAGTTTACAAGGTATGTATGTATATCAACGTTTCTGCATCGGAAAATCTCAAGTCTTAATATTTTGAGAAACTAAGGAGGTTTTAATCAGTACTGGGAATTGTAAAAGTTGTGCAAGAATGTACATTCCATCGATTCATTGATTGAAGGTTGTTCTCAGGGTATACTTTCAAATGGTCAAGAAGTAGCTGTGAAGAGGCTTTCAAAGAACTCTGGCCAAGGTGCAGAGGAATTTAAGAACGAGATGGTATTGGTAGCCAAGCTTCAACACAGAAATCTGGTCAGGCTATATGGATTTTGCTTGGAAGGAGAAGAAAAGATACTTGTTTATGAATATGTCTCCAACAAAAGCCTTGACTACTTTCTATTTGGTTTGTGCCCTGAAACATCTGATAGTCTTTTCTACTGCAAAAACAATGTTACTTCAACATGTATTTGAATCTGTTTCCTTGATGATAACTTGATTGCTCAATTTTGATGATTTTCAGACCCTGAGAAACAAGGACAATTGGATTGGGCAAGACGTTACAAGATTATCGCAGGGATTGCTCGAGGAATAATGTATCTACATGAAGATTCCCGACTTAGAATTATACATCGTGATCTCAAGGCCAGCAATATATTGTTAGATAGGGAGATGCATCCAAAAATATCTGATTTTGGCATGGCCAGGATTTTTGGGGTTGATCAAACTCAAGCAAACACAAGTAGAATTGTTGGAACATAGTAAGTTCTCTCATTCATCTTTTCTTTTCTCACGACCACTTTTGTTCTGCATTATCTGGATTGATGAATTTGAGAAATGGTCCCATCTGCACTCAACGGAAAGTCCACTTTGACCCTTGATAATATCTGTATGAACTCAGACAGGGATGATGTAATTTTTGAATCATACTTCACGCTCTATAAATAATGAAAGCCACTTAGTCTTACACGAAATTGAATAGATTAAATTATTGACATGAATATCATAAGTTTATGTTTACTCCTTAAATTTTGCTACAATTTCTATACTGATGGATGGTTGTGCTTCTTGCAGTGGCTATATGTCTCCAGAGTATGCAATGCATGGACAATTTTCTGTCAAGTCCGATCTATATAGTTTCGGTGTTTTACTGCTAGAAATCATAAGTAGCAAGAAGAATAGTTATTTCTTTCAAACTGATGCAGCTGAAGACCTCGTGAGCCATGTAAGCTTAAACTGAAAACAACGTAGTTTTGTTCTTCTGCACCAACACCACCACAACATAAATAAAAGTGTTCAATTTATGCAGGCTTGGAAACTATGGAGGGATGGGACGCCTTTGGAATTGTTGGATCCGAGTATGAGAGATTCTTATTCCAGGAGTGAAGTTATAAGGTGTATCCATATTGGCTTACTTTGTGTTCAGGAAGATCCAGCGGACAGACCTACAATGCAATCCGTAGTTCTCATGCTTAATAGCTACTCTGTGACTCTGCCATTACCTGAACAGCCAGCATTTTTCCTTCGAAGTCGAACGGAGGGGAACATGCCAAAGATAACTTTGGAGTCTGATCTATCTGTAAGTAAGTCAACTCCATCCGTTGATGAAGCATCAATCTCTGCAGTATACCCTCGATAGCGTGAATGAACAAGATGTTATATCTTGTATTATCTGTTTATATTTGTAATCACAAATGTGAAACTTGTACTCTTGGTTTCATACGACTGTCGTTAGGATTGAAAACATCAAATGGTATTTCTGTCTTGTGAGTTTCAATATCTTGATTTTGATTTTTGAGCATAGATTTATCATCCACATAACGTGATTGACTAGGTTTTAAGTCTTCACATCTGTATCTTGGAAAGATCTCTCCTTTGTGGGTCTGAGTTGAATCTTCTGCAGTTTCACGACGTCAATACCTAATAAATTTACAACCAGCCTAATTAGGTAGTTGAATCTTCTTTTCTGGTCATCTTCATCTCCGCGTAGGAGATAATGCGAAAAATGAAATACGTACAATGTGTGGGCCTGTAGCCTCGCTTGGTTGTATAAAACCGTACTCTTGTATTATTGCAGACTAAAAGTCTCAAAACCCTCTGTAGGTGTAAATATTGAAAAACTGACGAAAAAGAAAAAGAAAGAATGCGGTTGGGCTGAAAGTTCTACCCAAGTCTCGACCCCCTTTGTCTCTAAAAATTATGACTTTTAGATAAGCTTTTTAATTTCCACATGATTCAACTCTAAGTGACATAAGAAATTGGCTTTAGAAATAGAAACAGGGACTGGGCTGATCTGTGATCAAAAGATCATGAAAACCAAAATGTCTTCCGTGCATAATCTGATGCTTGTTTCCATTCTCTCCTCCATATTTGTTGTTGCTCTGCTCAGCTTTCCCAGCCCAGCTGAAGCTGATTATCTATACAATGTCTGCCCAAATTGGGATCTAACCACCCCAATTGGTGCATATCGCTCTCAAATATCTGGAAAATTTATCATCAAATTCGAGTCAAGTCTGCAGATTTACATGAATGGATCCCTAACCAAATTGGGATAATTATATCCTATCAGATTGGCCTCCCGCATGAGAAAAGTTCCTGCTTATATTCTGCTGGCACGGGCAAAAAGTGACACTATGAAGTTGGCCTGTGATAAAATGTTGGAAAAGATTACATTTCTTTTCTGGGTATACGTAGCTGTGGCAACGACTTATCATCCTACAGCGTAGCGGTCCCATGCATTAGGAACGTGATTGACGAGGCATTAAGTCTTCACACCAATGTCCTGGAAAAGGTTTTTCTCATTTGTGGGTCTGTCTGGGTTGAATCCTTCATGGTTTTGTGGTTACCTACTCCCTTTAAATTCTGGCTTACAAGGCACTAATTCAGTCTATACGAAATTAACAACCGGCTTAATTAGGTAGTTGTGGATACATCTTTATTTTTCTGGTCATCTTCGTATGTCTCTACGTACAAGAATATGTAAAATGAAATACGTACAATTTGTGGAATATTCTTAATAATGACGGCCACCATTGCGACGGCAACATGAAGTGGTGGCAGGAAGGAAATGGGGTCAGCTCAGCTCAGCTGGTTATACGAATCAATCAATGTGTGAGTGTAATATAACAATGACTCTTGCCATATTCTCGGTCAGTTGTATAAAACCATACTCTTCTATTATATCAAGATGTAAAATATTGGAAAATTATTGAGGAAAAAGAAAAGGCAAGAACACAGTTGGGCTGAAAATTCTACCCCTTCCCTCTCCAATTCATCAAAGTCTTTTCAATAACTCTACTTTCCACATGATTCAACATCACAGGGGCTTCTTCACACCTTCCTTCAATAAAGGACAAAAGTTGACTTCGACCTTAACACTCCTGTCAATTTATGAGTACATCACCAGTGCAAACACGCCAAACTCGGCCTAAAGGCATATTAGCTCACCTAAACCTGTCTTATTTACACATTGTAGAAGAAGGTGATCGTGATCATCAGGAAGAGGTTATTGATTTGATTATCAAAATGCCTTCCTTCAATCTCAATGTGTTGATGACCCTTGTGCTTGGCTTACTTAGCCTTAGCAGTTTGAGTGAAGCTGAATACCGCTACCACGTCTGTTATAACACAACCAGTTTCACTCCCAACAGCACCTACGAATTCAATCTTAAACTCCTCCTCTCTTCTCTCACCTCCAACGCCACCCGTGAACTCGGTTTCTACAACACCACTGCCGGCTCCCAAGATCCCAACGCTGCAGTTTACGGTTCCTTTCTATGCCGTGCTGATCTCACATCCGATGCATGCCAAGATTGTGTAGCCACCGCAGCCAGAGAAACGGTCCAAGAGTACTGCCCCTTAAGAAAAGTCACTATAATTTGGTACGATGATTGCATGTTACGCTACTCAAACGTGTCTTTTTTCGGCAATATGGATGAAGCCCCAAGAGTTTATATGTGGAACAGGGAAAACATTACCGATAATTCAAACCGGTTGACTGAGGTACTGGCGGCAACAATCACTGCCATGGTGCATACGGCAGCAAATGTGCCCTCCGGAGATAAAAAGTTTGCAACAGGTTCTTTTGTTGTAAACTTTACAGCGTCTCAGGAGTTGTACACCCTTATGCAGTGCACGCCGGACCTGTCAAGCACCGCCTGTGATCGGTGTCTTCAAGGAGCTATTGCATCTCTTCCGGCTTGTTGTAATGGGAAGGAAGGAGGAATAGTTTTGTATCCTAGTTGTAATGTTAGATATGAATTGTATCGATTTTATACAGTTGTTTCTGCCACTCCTCAGCCACTGCTTCGTCCTCCTCCGCCACTGCTTCGTCCTCCTCCTCCACCACTGATTCTCCCTACTCCACCAGCTTCAGTTATAAGGTCTCAAGGTAAAATTAATTCAGGGAGATTCACTATTATATCCAATATAGGAACTCAAATTATAAAAAAAACCCTATATGAAATGGATTTTAGAAACATACCCAAAGTCCATTTACAACATAAGAAAAAGGCTTTTAACTTTTTTTAAATTACGAAACTGTCATTGATTTCTTAAAACAAACCCAACCCAAAAACCTCATAAAAAAAAGCTCAAAACACTTAATAGAGCATCAAAGTAATTTAATAATTAAAATTAAATTTAATATGACCAGTTGTTATTTTTTGGGTTTGTTTATAGAAATTAAATAGTATATGGTTTATTTATAATTTTAGTGCTAAGAATGGATATAGGACTAAATATCTCATTAATTAATAGCAGCAGGGCTAGCTCATGTAGTTGGTCTAATTGGTTAATTATATATTCAGAAAATCAATGTTTGCATTTAGTGACCAAAATCGGTAGTTTATGTGACCAAGTGGCTGGCCACTAATTGTGAGTTTATGGGAGAAGAGGTTTAGGAAATTGTTGGTTTAGTGTTTAGGAATAGCTTGACTTGGAATAGAAAATTTTTCAGATTGAGGTTTGCTACCCAACCTCAATCTTTTCAGATTGTCTTGGAATAGAAAACTTTTGAAAGAGTAAAAAAGTAATTTTGTTTTGTTGTTGTTGTTGTTTTTTTGCTTCTTGTGCTGACCATATGAAAATGTATAATTGTTCATACAGGAAGAAGCAGACTTTCACCTTCCATATTCATTGCCGGCAGCATTGCTGTCTCTGTGGTACTAGTTGCTTCGGGTTACTTCTTCGTACGCAGAAGATCAATAAGAAAGAAGTACAATACTGCCCCAAATCAAAAAAAGGGTAAAATCTAGATAAAATATTATTTATTCTGTCACCAAGTTTTTCGAGTTCTTTTCATGTAACATTGCTTGCGTAAAATGGATAACCTCATTGTTTGCTTGCTTAGGTAGGAATGACTATGATACAAATAGTGTTGAGTCCTTACAATTTGACTTGGAAACTATTGAAACTGCCACAAACAAGTTTTCTGAGAGTAATAAGTTAGGTGAAGGCGGATTTGGTGTAGTTTTCAAGGTACGAAGATATGAATTTATTTCCTCATTTAATCTTGGAAACTATTGGTGCTTATAATATTGATACACAGTGCTCACTACTTTGTTCAATTTGTACAACTCTAAACTTAACTTAATTAAGATGACAATTAACATGAGTGGATAAAGTATACCCCATATACCATTTCAGGGAACACTTGCAAATGGCCAGGAAATAGCAGTGAAGAGGTTGTCGAAGAGCTCCAAACAAGGTGTACAAGAATTTAAGAATGAGGTTGCATTGGTAGCCAAACTTCAACACAGAAATCTTGTCAGGCTTCTAGGATTTTGTTTAGAAGGAGAAGAAACCATACTCGTCTACGAATATGTGCCAAACAAAAGTCTTGATTATTTTCTTTTTGGTATGAATGCATCATTTTAATAAAAACACTTTGCAATTTCTAACTGAAGTACAACAATATTTGTGCTTTACTGAATTGATGTGAGTTTGTAGAATCCAAACAACGTGAACAACTAGATTGGTCAAGCCGCTGCATGATAACAGGAGGAATTGCTCGAGGAATTCTATATCTTCATGAAGATTCAAGGCTCAGAGTTATACATCGTGATTTGAAAGCAAGCAATATCTTGTTAGATGGTAATATGAATCCAAAAATATCGGATTTTGGCATGGCAAGAATGTTTGGAGTTGAAGATCAAACTCAAGGAAACACCAAAAGAATTGTGGGAACCTAGTAAGTTTAATCCTCTATCTTATCAATAATCTTAAATCCTATTTCGACTTTTAAACCTACATATAAATCATTTTGGCCTTGTAATTAGCGGTTACATGGCTCCAGAATATGCTATGGAGGGATTGTATTCTGTAAAATCTGATGTCTTTAGCTTCGGAGTACTTTTGCTTGAGATCATAGCGGGGAGAAGGAACTTTTTAGGCTTTCATCCAACGAATTCTGCACCTACCCTTATAGGCTATGTAAGGTCTTTATTTGGGTTAAGTTATACAAAAAGTTTCTCACTATATGTACGAGCAGTACTTACATCCTTGAGAGGTATTTAATGCAGGCTTGGCAAATATGGAATGAAAGGAAAGGGTTGGAGTTGATGGATCCGTTGTTGAAAAACTCATGCAGTCCAAATGAATTTTTGAGATACATCCATATCGGATTATTGTGTGTTCAAGAAGAAGCAAACAATAGGCCAACCATGTCAACAGTTGTTCTAATGCTAAAAAGTGAAACTACTAGTCTATCCGGACCTGAGAAACCAGCCTTCTTTACAGGAAGATCTACTGATCACCATGATCAAGTAAGGGCTCATGATTGCTCAGCCAATGGTTTAACGATTTCTAATGATTTGGCCCGCTGACTAGAGTACAATCAAGTAAATATCATTGGATTCCATTAATTAAGGGCTTAAGCTATAAGCTTTATATTTTGTTTCACATCACCAGGACATGTCATTTTACTGCGATCAACTATTTTCTTAGTACCTAATACGTTTGCTAGCCAATTTGGGATCTAACCACCCCAATTGGTTCATATCGCTCTCAAATATCTGGAAAATTTATCATCAGATTTGCGTCAAGTCTGCAGATTAACATGAATGGATCCCTAACCAAATTAGGATAATTATATCCCATCGGGTTCTCCTCTTGCATGAGAAAAATTCCTACTTATATATATGCTAGCTGCTGGCATGGGCAACAAGTGACATTATGAAGTTGGGCTCTGATAAAATGTTAGAAAATATTACATTTCTTTTCTGCGTATACGTAGTTGTGGCAACGATCATCATCCTACAGCATAGCGGTCCCATGCATTAGGAACGTGATTGACAAGGCTTTAAGTCTTCACACCAATGTCTTGAAAAAGGTTTTTCTCATTTGTGGGTCTGGGTTGAATCTTCTTAATGGGTTTGTGGTTACCTATTCCCTTAAATTCTGGCTCACAAGGCACCAATTCAGTCTATACCAAATTGACAACCGCCTGAATTAGGTAGTTGTGGTCACGTCACTGTCCTGTATTGATGACTGGAGCTATGGATACATCTTCTTTTTTTCTGGTCATCTTCGTCTCTACGTACGAGATAATACATAAAATGAAGTACGTACAATTTGGGGAACATGCTTAATAATGATGGCCACCATTGCGATGGCGACATGAGGTGGTGGCAGGAAGGAAATGGGGTCAGCTCAGCTGGTTATATGAATCAATCAATGGTTGTATAAAACCGTACTCTTCTATTATTGCAGACTAAAAGTCTAAAGCCGTCTGTGTGAGTATCAAGGTGTAAATGTGGGAAAATTATTGCGGAAAAGGAAAAGGCAAGAACACAGTTGGGCTGAAAATTCTACCCCCTCCGTCTCCAATCATCAATGACTTTTCAATAACTTTACTTTCCACGTGATTGAACATCACAGGGGCTTCTTCACACCATCCTTCAATAAAGGACAAAAGTTGACTTCGACCTTAACACTCCTGTCAATTTATGAGTACATCACAATCCTGACCAGAGCAAACACGTCAAACTCGGCCTAAAGGCATATTAGCTCACCGAAACCCGTCTTATTTACACATTGTAGGAGGAGGTGATCGTGATCATCAGGAAGAGGTTATTGATTTGATTATCAAAATGCCTTCCTTCAATCTCAATCTGTTGAAAAATGATAAGATATTACTTAAATACTAAAAAGAAGTATAGCCGCGCGGCTATACGTAATATCTTATCATTTGCAGTTACTTTCATTTGTAATTATGTTTTAATTATTATTTCTTTAGTGAATATTACTGATCCAAGAGTTTCTTTGTTGAACGTGGGAAATATTAGGGCATGTTTGGTATTCAACTTGAATCCAACTTTTTAAACTCAAAAATAGAATTTGAGTTCAAAACAAAGAAAACCTGTTTGGTAGCCCTATTTTTAAAAACTCAAACTCAAGAACAACTAAAATACACCCCAATTATTAAAAACAAAAAATATCTGTTTTTTCAGTTTTTTTCTAACAACCCACAAGTTCTCAAAGTTTTAAGATTTGAAAACAGTTTTCAAATTACATACTAAACAAGTTTTTGAATCTTAAAAGTAAATTTAAGAACTCCTTGTTTTTAAGAAAAATCAAAGTTTTTGAGTTCCCTATTTGAATAGGATACCAAACACCCCCTTACTGATCCAAATCGGTTTAATGAGGTACTGGAGGAAACAATCACTGGCTTGGTGCTTGTGGCAGCAAATGCGGCCTCTGGAGCTAAAAAGTTTGCGGCAAAAGAAGCAAACTTTACAGCGTTTTAGGAGTTGTACAGCCTTGTGCAATGCACGCCGAACCTGTCAAGCACCGCTTGTGATCGGTGTCTTCGAGCGGCTATTGCACTTCTTCCGGCTTCTTGTTATGGGAAGCATGGAGGAAGAGTTTTGTATCCTAGTTGTAATGTTAGATATGAAATTTATCCATTTTATACATTTGTTACTGCCCCTCCTCCGCCACTGCTTCTTCCTCCACCTCCAGCTTCAATTACAAGCTCATGTATGACAGGACCCGCCCCCTATTCTTCAAAATTCGCGACGAATCATGTGGTATTTCTGGCATCAAGCTGATGTCGGGCCCACTTACTAGTGATATAGCCTCTTTCCCAAATCAAGTAAAAGATGGACGAGTCTTTTTGCCGAAATTTCAACAGAGTCTCCCCTCAAAAATGGACATTTACCAAATTTGTTTCACCTGTAAATATCACAGTTTAAGAAACCAATTACTAGCACACACAATGCAATATCACACAGTTTACACAATAGGCTTCTATCCTTCAAATAATTGAAACCAGAACCACCAGCAAAGTCAAAAACCAAACTCATCTCGACACGATTTACACAATAGTACCATTCAATTCCCCAAAATCCTTCCAGATTAAAAAGTGACAAAAATGACCTTATTCCCATGGGCAAAATTGTAATTTCATAATTTAATAAAATTAACGAATAATTAAATTTTGGGTCGGGATGTTACAATGTATTTGTTCTAATTGGTTAATTGTATGTTTAGAAAGCATGTTTGTCTTTATAGAACTTTTACACAAACATATGGATGAACCATTAATTTGTGTCTAATACTCTGTGCAGGAATTGATGACCAAATCTCAACTTTGATTATAGTGGTCATTGTGGTTCCAATTGTCATATTGCTCTTCTTGGTAGGCTGCTGTTTCTTAAGAAGAAGAGCAAGGAAAAAGTACAATGTTATACAACCACAAAATGGTAAACATTGAATTTATACCTTCCTTTCCAAACCCAACTTATGCATTCTCCTCTCTTGAACGATTTGATTTCTAATCGTGTTCAGTAGTTACTTAGTTCATAATTAATACCTCCTACTTCTTGATTGTGTAGTGGGAACGAAATTAATAGTGTGGAGTCATTGCAGTTTGATTTGCGTACAATTGAAGCAGCCACAGAAAATTTCTCTGATCAGAACAGGTTAGGGGGAGGTAGCTTTGGTGAGGTTTACAAGGTTGTGATTTTGGCTTACATATCTCATAAATTTTTTGTCCAAAAAAAAAAAAAAAAAATTTCTCATGAATTTAAGTCATGCCAGAGTTTAACAGAATGTATTAAATTCACGGAAGTTACTTGGATGTTTGTAAAGATCATTGGTTACAATATTTTCAGGGTACACTCCCGGATGGGCTACAAATAGCTGTGAAGAGGTTATCTAGAGGCTCTGGGCAAGGTGCCGAAGAGTTTAAGAATGAGATTGTTTTGGTAGCTAAGCTTCAGCACAGAAATTTAGTGAGGCTACTGGGATTTTGCTCTGAAGGAGAAGAAAAGTTACTTGTTTACGAACTTGTGGAGAACAAAAGCCTTGACCACTTTCTATTCGGTTTGTGCCCTTCTAACATCATGTGTGATACCATATGCTATTTGATTAGTTTTTGATACAATCACACTTCAATTTCTAATTCACAAACCAAGAACATTCCCAATAGTCAAAGCCACTGCGGAAAAGAAAATATCTTTCAGAATTCTGCATGTCTATTAATTTACTCATTCTAACCTGTATATTTTATGGACAAATGTGTGCATAGGCTCTGAGAACCAAGTAAAATTGGATTGGTCAAGCAGATACAAGATTATTGGTGGGATTGCTCGAGGGCTTCTCTATCTCCATCAAGATTCTCGGCTTCAAATCATACATCGTGATCTTAAAGCAGGAAACGTATTGTTAGATGGGAACATGAACCCAAAAATTGCAGATTTTGGCATGGCAAGAATATTTGGTGCTGACCAAACTCAAGGAAGCACAAGAAGGATTGTGGGAACATAGTAAGTAACAGAACTTTGTTTATGTTCACATCATCTGCATAAACGAGTTGATTGTTTTTCTCATCCTGAATATTAAATACTAAAAAGAAAAGATATCAGATTGATATCTCAACAATTCATCTCATCTCAGACAACATGAAGAAGCACTGTTAATGCAGTCTTCCCCCAAGTGTTATCATATATGCACTATTGGTTACCCTGTTTATGAATTATAAGTTAATTAAGACACTGATTGCTAGATGAGCTTCAACACTCTGTATTTGGATTTACATTACTTTGATGATGCTGCTGGTTTGTAGTGGTTACATGCCTCCAGAATATGCAATGTATGGACAGTTCTCTGTGAAGTCCGACATGTACAGTCTTGGTGTCTTGATCTTAGAGATTGTAACTGGCAAGAAGAACACTAATTTCTATAACTCGGACCGTGGCGAAGACCTCTTGAGCTATGTGAGTATAAGTTGAATATTTAAATTTGCATTTCATGGTTAATCTTTTTACTGCAACATTTTGAATGAGTCTCTTACTAAATTAAAAATTAAAAATTTGCAGGCTTGGAGACATTGGAGGGATGGGACACCCTTAGAATTATTGGATCCAAATCTAAGAGATTCTTATGAAAAAACTGAAGTAATTAGATGTGTCCATATTGGGTTACTCTGTGTTCAGGGAAATCCAGATGAGAGACCCACAATGCAATCCATTGTTCTCATGCTAAGCAGTGACTCTGTTACCATGGCATTACCTCAAAAGCATTAACCACTGAATCATCTGATCCAACTGCTAGCAACTTGTTGCCATTTTCTATTAACGAAGCATCAATTACCGAATTATACCCCTGTTAGTGTATATCGAACAATCTTGCAGGACTGTACTTTTGGAAGTTCTTTGATTTTGTTTCATTTCTCTATGCTTTTCATGGTTGATCTAGCTGTTTTATTTCTTGTTGGTTCAGTTAGTCTCTGCTCCATAGGCATAGGGGCCTCTGTATTTGTCACGACCCGACTCCCCTAGCACGATATTGTCCGCTTTGGGCCCCCCTCTCTGCCCTCACGGTTTTATTTCTGGGAGCTCACGAGCAACTTCCCAGTGGGTCACCCATCCTGGGATTGCTCTAGCCCCCAACTCGCTTAACTTCGGAGTTCCTAAGAATCCGAAGCCAGTGAGCTC